TTCGAGTTTTAGCACAGACTAGACTAGATATATTTTTGTGTTATTACTTTATACATACAAGTAATGTTGGTAACATTTTCTTACAAACTAAATATATATATCCGGTGGCGCTAGCAGAGCACAGTGGGAATTTTCAAATTTGATATATATTTAACATGCTACAGTTAAAACACATGTATAAGAATACACAAAGCTCCTTCTATTGGTTAGAATTCGTTAATTTGTACCTTGGTATTCGTGGAGGTATAAATCCGTAACACTAATTTATGAAATTAAAAATATCTCCTCAACGGTTGGCTTTAGCCATTTTCAATAAGTATACCTTTTTTGTTCAAAAAAGTCCAATATTTCATATTTTGTTACTAAATGCTGTATACGGGGGTTGGCAAAAAAGTTACTACGAATTCAATGCATAATGTTGCCTGCAGAGGGCGCCTCGTACTCGACACTCAAAAATCATTATTATATTATTTTTCCCATCATTAAAAAACCTCTCTGTTGAAAATTTGAAACATTTCTGACTAAAATTATAGAAATTATTAAGGAAAAAACATTTATTTTTTGACTTTAACACCCTGTATCTTTTTTATTATGTGACTTGGGATATAGGTGTGAGGTTAAATTGACTTATTTTTACCCAAGGAATCTCTGGTATCATTTGTGCCCCTCCATTTAATCTTATAATCTTTTTGGTTTAAAACTGGTCAAAAAAACACCATTTAAAGTTTGTCGACAGACTTAACTAACACCCTGTATTTCAGTAGATGCCAGTTTAGGTTCATTTAAATCATCGTCTTATCTTAGAATAGAGGTAGGTAAAGATCAGCCTTTTTTCGCCTATCATAATCATGAATTCAAGGTAGTAATTAAAGCCATTTTATTATATTTATAGGAAGTTCAAGTATTGACTTCTACATTTACATTAAATTGACAGGAAACGAAAAATAGCAAGTCACATAAAAAGGTCATCAAACAGGGCACATTTGTTGAATTTTTGGTATTTTAGACGCTTTTTCCATCTTTGTCATGTCATAATCCAAACAGATATGTCATAATCTAAAAATTGAATGATTTTGTCAGCGCAAACTTGGTACCAGAGTTGTCTTCTGCTGTGCACATGTTGCATCTGTACTATGGCACTTGGGGTACCGGCACCATAATTGAACTCAGACAAAAACACCAAGTCTTAGATATACCGATACCAGTGGCGGCTCGTTATAGGAGGCTGGGGAGGCTAAGCTAAGTTTTTGATAGTATTGCAAGTCTTCTTTTAGTTTTTTATTTTACCATATAATTAATATTATTTAAGAAATTTTCTTACAAATCTATTTTCACATGCAACTAATATGTACCTACTAAAGGAGATCTCGAGTACGTAAATATATGATTTTTCAATGTTCCCTATTTTTCGCACACACCGAATTCGCATTATAGTCGCTGGCAGCTAACTTTCTCAAGCCTCCAAGCCTTTTACCAGAGTTTTATATGATGCGTGACCTTGAAATGATACCATGATTATCTACATTCGAGCTTAACCAGTCGACACGGAGGCTTGTTGCCACCTTCCCTCTCTTTTTAACAAGCGAATCTTTCAATATAGCCCTTCTTCTCTACCACCTCGGCGCTCGCAGTTCGCACGCATTTGTATGTGACGCTTCAAAATTAAAACATTGATCATCTGTGATACAGTACGCGCGTTTTTGTTTTTAACTGGTGTTTATGTGAAGTTTTTCTTAAGAATTTTTGTAAGACAATCATAATTATTTAGTAAAACAATCATTTACATTTTACTCTGGTACGTACTTAACTTTATTAAAATAAAATGAGTGCAGAAAACGAACATAACCTCAACAACTTCTTTAGTTGCATGGACATTGTAGATTATTTATTATTAAAAGGATTTAGTACTCTCAGTTATGATGAAAAGCTCATAATTCAACAGAAATCGAGACCAACACCTCCTTTCCCCTCTTTAGTTACAGTGGGTGAAAAACAAAATGGGGGGATTTAAGGGCAATAATTATAGAAAAAACGACTGGTTAACTGCATCAACTATTAGAAGTAAATTATACTGCTGGCAATGTTTATTTTTCACTAATGATAATTTATCGGTTTGGGGCAGGGTCGGTTTTAACAATTTAAAAAATTTTACGAGAGGCCTCGAAAGACATGAAAAATCGCAAGAACATATTTCATCGTGTATTAAATTTGAAATGTTCGGTAAACAGAATATTGTAAAAGCTTTAGATTCTGTTCACAAAACCGAAATACAACATTATAATGAGAAGGTTTGTAAAAATAGATATATTTTAAATAGACTAATCGATATAGCAATATTTTTATCGTCTCAAGAAATTTATTTTCGCAGACATGAAAAAGTGGACTCTGCTAATCGAGGGAACTTTAAAGCGTTAATAAATTTATTAAAAAAATTTGATTCAAAATTGCAGAATTTCTTAAATAATGCCACTGTTTTTTCGGGAACCTCTAAAACCATTCAAAACGATTTAATTGAGAGTATTAGTTCAATTATCAAAAATAAAATTTATGACAAATTAAATAATTGCGAATTTTTCTCCTGGCAGGTTGATGAAACCACAGATGTTACCTGTAAGTTTCAATTATCGGTAATTTTTATATACGTAGTGCACGGAGAAGTTGTTGAAAAATTTGTTGGATTTTTTGACGTACCAAGTGGGAGAAATGCAGATAATTTGTTTAAATTATTAATTAATGAATTTGGAAAATTTGACTGTAAAAAAAATTAAATTAATTGCTCAAATGGTGCCGCAGCTATGTCAGGTCGTGATAATGGACTTCAAAGAAAAATAAAAGATGTAGCTCCTCAAGCTTATTTTAATCATTGTTAAGCACATAAATTGAATTTAGTTTCAAGTAAAACTTGCAACGGCATTAAAGAAGTGAGAATTTTTTTCAAATCTTTCCGGATTGTCCTTATTTTTTTCCATGTCTACTAAAAGATCTGAAAAAAATAAATAAAGTAAAATAATGCAACACAGGATTCCAAGTAATGCTCCCACTCGTTGGAATTTTTCTTCTAGAACTGTTTTTACGGTCAAAACATATACAGGGTCGGAAAGTACCGATGGTCCATCTGCCGTTACGTGAGAGCGATAAAGTAAGTCATAGAAATCCGTGCGATAGAGAAAGATGGCTATAATGAAGGCATCTAATAGTCACCGCCCATTTCGCCCTTCCACAAATAAGAAGTGGATCTTATTTGTGGAAGGGCGAAACGGGCGGTGACTATGAGACGCCTTCATTATAGCCATCCTTCTCTATCGCACGGATTTCTATGTCTTACTTTATCGCTCTCACGTAACGGCAGATGGACCATCGGTACTTTCCGAACCTGTAAAAAGAAACTTATTGAGGTTTTTGATTTCATGTCGGATAGTGAGGATTTTTTAAATGATCAACAAACTTTAGGATCCGCTTATGGATTAAAACAATTGTTGTTGGACAAAAATTTCATTTTTTTCTTGAAAACCTTTACAATGAATTTTGAACAAACCGATGTTGTATTCCAAATTTTGTAGAATAAATTAACTGACGTAACATTTTCTAAAAAGAGAATTAATTCACTTTTATCAAAATTAAAAGAATTCCGTAATAATGAGATACATTTTAACACGTTGTATGCAATTTTCTTAGAAGACATTGACGAAACCTTTAATGATGACCCGCTGTCAAAGAAAAGAAAGACATCATATAATTTTGAAATAACTAATATTCATTATAAACAAATTTTTTGTGAAGTTTTAGAAAATGTTATAGTCCAAATTGAAATTAGATTTTCTGACTTAAATAGTTTGATTTAGTAAATTCGGGATAATTTTACATTGTTCTCCAAATTATTTCCAAATGACTTAATGGACAGTTTAATAAAACAATATCCGATATTTGATAGCGTGTTATTGCGGAATGAACTTTGTGTATTGTACTCCGACCAACAACTTTTAGGCAGTTCAATATCGCCTAAAGAAATGCTGTTTTATTTGGAAAAATAAATTAATAAATTATCTACCTCAGACATATAAACTTTTATCTTTAATGTCAACAATTCCGTAACATCAGCTTCTGCAGAACGGTTATTTTCAGCACTTAAACGTATAAAGACTTTTGCTAAAAATACGATAGCTCAAGATCGTCTCTCAAATATATCCCGTTTCCATAGAAAAAGGGTATTTGTCACAACTGAAAGAAAATAATTTATTTTATGATGAAGTTATTGATCATTTTGCCGGATCTGAAAATCGCAGATTGCCATTGATATATAAAAATATTTAATTTGTGATATGTAATATATTTGCCAAAATTGTTTTTATTTTTAATACATATATATTTACATATTTATAGGTATACATACTTATACATATATGTATAAGTAACCATTGTACATATTAATTTATTCGAATTTCTTTTAGTTTTTGTACTCATTGCTAATTTACAAATAATTTGTGATATTTAATGTTTTATACAAAATAAGAGATTTTACTTTATGTTAATTTTGTGGGATAATAGGGCTACTGGTGAACAACCTACTCAAAAAATGTAACGCGCCCATTGGACTACCTCAAGGGTGGTGAGGAAATGTGCCCGTTAGAATACAACGCGACGATTTAAAGTTTTTCATTTTAAGTCTCCTCTACCCAAGATCCTGCTACTGAATGGTCTAGTGACGATTCAGTCAGTGAAGGCGACAGGGAAATATGTATAATCAAAGACATGTGTTAGAAATAGTTTAGTATACTTATTTTTTTCTCTACTTAATAAAAAGATTTTTCAAAAAATATTCACATTTTTATTTTGACGGTATAAAAATTAAGAAAAAAATAATGTATTAAGAATTGGCCGATGGGCGAAAAAAGGTTGATCTTTACCCACCCCCTTTGCTCTGTCAATATTTTGTGACATTCTGAGTGCCTTACTAATAAATAGTTATAATATAATAATGTATACTAAGATTACCTACTTACATTATATCTATTACTTGCAGAATCTTTATCAAGACAATATTTTCTAAGAGCATGTTTATGTTTCAGCACATTGGGAAATTCATTTTCAAGAACATTTTGCAGAGGCGTATAAACTAATTCCTCAACTTTCATCTCATGTTCTGCATTTTCACGAGCTAGTTGCTGCTCAATCAATCCAGATTCTTTTAATATATATTGAAATAGTTGACATTCCTTAAACTGCCTACTTTCTTCAATTAACGTTGTGCCAAGTTGAAATTCCATGGTTTTTTTCTAAAATAAACACATTTGCAAAAATGTAATAAAATCTGAAAATAACAAAAAGTCATGGTAGTTATTTAATTTACAAAAAATTTCGAAGGAGGTGATTACTAAAGTCATCTATAAAAAAAAAACACAAACCCTTATATGTCAAACAAATAGGTTTTTTTTTACCTAAAATTGTCATCACGTAAATGTCTCATTAAAAGGCATTTTTTAGTCGAAACTAGCTTTCAATTTTATCAGAAATGCGTTTGTACCATAAATCTCAACATCTTAAAAGTTTTCAATAATAAATCAAGTAATTTTTAATTATATATGTAATAGATCAAGGTGACCAATGTGGACAAACATAAGTGGAGATTAAATACTAAAAATTAGTGATGAGATATCTCGAGTAAAAAAGTAGTAACTACTCGATTATTGAGATCACTCGAGATATCTCAAAATGTTCACTCTCATCACTTGAGTGATTATTACCCTGTGGCTGCGCCCCTAATTCTTGGTGCATACTACAAGTAGTCGTTGATTGTGTGACTTTTATTTAGATCAAAAGGAAAGTGTTTTTTTTTATTTTTTAGCTACGCTATAAGTAATATATGTATTATGCAAGCGTATGGGTGTGCTGATGAGATGAAAATGACCTTGTATTTCGACAGACTGTGTCCTGATTTAATGGCTGGTTAAGGACGGGATTTTGTACAAAAAATATCGCCCAGCGTGAGTCACGAAACTGGACCCCGGCAGGTGCTGCTCTAGCGGCCAACGCTTCAAGTCTAATAATTTACACTGCATCCACATTCGCCCGATTTTTCAGGAACGGCTTCAATTTGTGTACATACAATCTTATAAGGAAAGAGAGTAAATATTTTATTAATCAGTAATAGATTATCGAGGACAATAATATTTTTTTATTGAGTAAGCAATAATTTTTAGTTAATAAGCTTAAACAATCTTATAATTACTATTCCTTCATTATAAAAACAGATATACGGTTTTTAAAATTACAAGTAGATGTAGTTTCTTCTTCAAAAGTGACCTTAAAACACGTATAACATGGAATAGTCAACAGTCTAATGTTTATATTTTCACATTAACAATCCGATAATGTAAATTAACTGCTATTTTCAGTAAAAAAATTATNTAATCATTTGCTATTCTCAATATAATTACAAAAAAAATTATTCAAATTTTCATTGTTTATTTTATAAACAATTTGTTATAAAAAAAATCTGATTTTCATTTTATTTTTTTTTCGTAACTTTAAAAAATTATAAATATGGTAAATAATTTTTTTTTCTAGTTTTTATTGCATTTTTAAATACTTTATCACATCAAAGCTGAAGCGGTCACCTATTTTATAAACTTATAAATTGTTATAACTTCTAAACTATTGATGATACGGTCTTTGACATTCAGGTAGATCTTTTAGATAATTTATTGATCTATAATATGAATTTTTTTACCTGCTTCATATCTACAATGGTTCTATTTTTATAAACATTTGTTTATAAAAAATGCATTATCTAATTCTTTATATGACTATAACTTTTAAACTATTGAAGTTACGGCTTCCACTATTGAAGACAATTTTATAGAGTAATTATTGGACTATTCAATAATTTTTTTTTTATTCCATTTGTTACGATTTTTTTTATTTGTTTAAATTATCACACGATTAAGGGTACATTTTCTGGGTTTTCTGTACTTTTTTTTCTATCATTATTTTATATTCTTCTTGTTTTCTTCAATTTTGTCTATTTTTAATTAAACACTTAACTTTTGTAAGAGCAGAAACTCAAAAGTTCATTGTATTCCGTAAATATCTTCCAGGCTGCACAATTGGCTAAAATTTTGAGTTTCTGCTCTTACAAAAGTTAAGTGTTTAATTAAAAATAGACAAAATTGAAGAAAACAACAAGAATATAAAATATTGACATTAGTTAGAAAAAAAAGTACAGAAAACCCAGAAAATGTACCCTTAATCGTGTGATAATTTAAACAAATAAGAAAACATCGTAAACAAATGGAATAAAAAATATAAAAAAAAAATTATTGAGTAGTCCAATAATTACTCTATAAAATTGTCTTGACTAGTGGAATCCGTAACTTCAATAGTTTAAAAGTTATAGTCATTTAAAGAATTAGAAAATGCATTTTTTTATAAACATAAAACACACCACAGAAATGAGACAACCCCCCAATCCCTCCAATGTCTCATTTCTGTGGTGTGTTTTATGTGATGTTTTTTTTATTTTTTTATAAACAAATGTTTATAAAAATAGAACCATTGTAGATATGAAGCAGGTAAAAAAATTCATATTATAGATCAATAAATTATCTAAAAGATCTACCTGAATGTCAAAGACCGTATCATCAATAGTTTAGAAGTTATAACAATTTATAAGTTTATAAAATAGGTGACCGTTTCAGCTTTGATGTGATAAAGTATTTAAAAATGCAATAAAAATTAGAAAAAAAAATTATTTACCACTTTGATGCACATAGCTGTATTTATAATTCTTTAAAGTTACGAAAAAAAAATAAAATGAAAATCAGAATTTGTTTATAACAAATTGTTTATAAAATAAACAATGAAAATTTGAATAAATTTTTTTTTTATAATTATATTGATAATAGCAAATGATGATTTAAAAAAAAATGATTTCTTAATAAATAATTTAAATGACAAATAAATATAAAAATCGATTATAAACAATTAAAAAATTTATTTAAGAAAAATTTTTGTTTTTAAAAATCATTATTTTACCAAGACAATAAAATGGCAAAAAAAATGTTTCAAAAATATTAAACTTGTCCATTTGTTTATAACAAATTTATAAAATAACGTTAAAAATTTTTTAGCTAAGCTAATAAACCCAATATATTAATAGAAAAACAACTAAAATTAAACATTTGGTAAAAAAAAATTTTTTACATTTCCCGGATTTTTTGTTTTTTGTTAACTTTAAAAAATCATTATAAACAAATGAAAAAACTTTTATAAACTTTTACAACGGAATCTTGTTTATTATGTATATAAAAAGACCTCCCAGAAAGAAAAAATATTTTAGATACATTATTTAAACTTTTACAACAAGTCCACGAAAAATTAGTTCATTAACAATTGAATAACTTTAACAAAAGTCAAGTTAAAAATTATTTTCCAACTGGGCTGTGTTCCTTCAAGTGTCTAGATGACACTATAATTTATTTAGATTTTTAAATTAATATTGAATACTATAAAAAAATTATTTTGTGTGGCACACTTTGCTTGGCGGCGACGCGACGACGCGGAAACCGCCGCGCGGAGCCATATTTTCAACGTCAAATTAAAATTATAAATAATTGAGCTACAATTCCGGGAGTCCGGACTTATTTTGCTGAAATTTTCTCCTCTTTCAGGATCTTTTTTGAAATTTCAGCTATCTTCAATATTTTTTTAGTTATAGCTAAAAAACGGAGACTCCCTTTTTTTCTCTTCGTTTTTTGTTTATAACAATTGCTATTTTTAATTGCGGATAAATTAAAAAATAC